CGCTCAGGGAGTTTGTGTGTTCGCTCAGACACGTGAAAAATTAGAGGGAACATTGCCAGTAAGTATTAAAACCAGAGAGCATAAAAACCTTTGCAGATGCCTGGCTTTACTTGAACTCATCTCCTTTATTATTTTAAAGCAGCATAAGAGATTTCACAGCTCCAGAAAGTTTAATGGAGCTTTTGAAGGAACTGTCAGTGTTAACAGCGCAGTTAAAGGACTTGCACGTGACTTACGATAGCCAAAAAAAGAGAGGATCCTCCATTTGCTGTTCTGTTATCCTTGATTACCAGTACATGAGCTATTAATGTGGTCATTATCATCCAGCTAGGAATTAAGTGAATCCAAACCAAATCCAGGAAAGGAACAATTAAAATATCCCACTGTCCATACAAGTGTTCCAGTTGGTCATGTTTGCTTAATTTCCATCATATCCATGAACAAAGCAGAAAAAAAACATATTTGTTTTGTTAAGCAAAGTATTTCTCCTCTTAGTATTCCTTTTTTGGATCCATTTTCTTTTATGTATAGGTGTCCAGTAGTTTCTCTGTCCGGTTTAAGGGCTGATTCAACTCGTCCCGACCCCTCTGGTGCTGCCTCTGATGAGGAACGAGGGGGATGGGAGAATTAAAAGAGAGAAACATCTAATTATCACCCACCTTATATCTTCCACATACACATGCTCCTATACACTAACCAAGGACCTTTTGTATAATTGAATTCCTAATTACAAAGGCGCCTGAGTAACAGGAGAGGGGTGAGTCGTACCCACTCATTTCCTCTCACTGGAGGAATCATGTGTACACATTAGTGTCTTTGTGTGAGCGCACACATGTGTGTGTGTGATAATTAAGTCTGTTTAGGCAAGAGAGGGTCTCAAGTCTCAAAGCATTCTTTATCTGATCAGATCTCAAGTTTAAGACACCTGAATCAATGAATAAGAGAGTAGAAGAAAGGGAAGAAGGGAAGAGCTGAAAGGATGCAAAGGGGTGGATACAAATATAGGAAAAGACGTTAAATAGGAAGCAGTTCAGTAAATAGGGTGAATAGCCTAACTCTTCAGCCCAGAACTTATGGCGTCCTGTTGTGATTCTTCAATTGCAGAAGAAAAAGTTCTGCTTCTACAAAATATATATTACAGTGCAGGAAAAAAAAAAAGGAAAAACAGGCTGGAAGAAGCAGGAAGCAGGTGGAGGATAAGACCACCTGATCTGTCAGCCCAAGATGAGAGCCTCACCACAGTTACTGAACAGGCACCAATGAGGGGCACATTAGCAGGAAATTTGGGTGCAATTCCATTTTTAATTTGAACTTAAAGCCTTTCAACTTCAAACCAAGATGAAAGGAGGCTTGAGACTCTATATTATCAGGTAGACGTCTGCGTAAAACGTGCTGTCTTAATGTTTTTTCACAGGAAACAATGAGGGACAAGATCTACACCCCTCTGAGTGTAGAAAGTGCTATTGATGCCAGGTGAGAGACAGTTACACACAGAACATGCCGTGCATAAAAAATCATTACATTTATTACCGTTAATTTATTTAAATAACATGTTTGCATCTTTATCATTATGTATGCATGCACACTAATACATGTGCACTAAATTACTAACACATATGCAATCTTAAAATCCCTTTAGTCTTAAAGTTTTACCTAATAAAATTCTTTCTAATAACAATGGATATGTTTTCTTTCTCCTTTTTAATTTCTTATATCATTGTGTCACTCGCTGCCCACCACTCACACACATCTAGAGATGCTGTTGCCAAGATCCTATATTCGCTGCTCTTCCGCTGGTTAACAGAAAGGATCAATGGTCAGGTGTATCCTCACCAACACACCCTCTCCATCTCCATCCTGGACATTTACGGATTTGAGGTAACGGAGCCTTGTTGTATGTTTGACCTTAAACCCCTCAGAAAAAACTAGAATGCAATGACTCCTTAGTAGGTTCTAAAATTATTTTAAACTTAATCACAGATGAATAACAGTGCATGATATATTTCACCTTGTCTTTATTTATTTAATAATTATTAAGCCAAAATGCAGAGGCAGCTTTACTTCTTCTATAGGAATTATAGGAATGCTACTTTCAGCTGCTCCTTTGCCACATGGGGTCGTTGCAGCCGGCAGCTCTACATCTTTGATTCATTAGAGTTTTGCGCCAGATGCCCTTCATGACACCACCCCAAAGGGGATTTGTGGCTTTGGCTGGAATTGAAGCAGCAACCTTTCACTCACAATACATCATGAGAATGATTAGTCACAAGTGGAAAGTATTCAAAACTGCTGCCAATCTACAG